TAATTTCTCTCGGTGTAAGGATATAGCTATGGATAATTTCATACAAGGTCAATAAATCCGCGGTTACTTCGGGTCACACTGTTGAGAAAATAAACCGATGGGTTTGTTTAGTAGCAAATCGAGCGTGAATCAACTGAGTTTGTACTGAAAAATTTTTGAGTGATATGTATGAACTGTCTTCACACATTCGGTTTATAATTAGCGATATACAGGTACAGTGGCAAGTGTTGTACTTCACAGACTGTTTACCTCCGAACTACCTCCGCACGAAATCCCCGATTTGGGTACTTGTTAAAAGAAAAAGAAATAGTACCTGTGCGCATGCCAGTAAAAAAAAACCCTAAGAGTTCGCGCATAAAAATGCCCGAACGTACCAGGCGCCAGGTCATCCAGTTTTTGAAGGGTTTGTCAAATATTTTCTTTGAAGAGCTATCTATATCATATGATGTTAACATTATGAATTGATTCATTAGTCTTGTTTCTTAAAGTCAATTTAAATCAATCGACTTGGAATTTAGATTTTATAATCGATGTTATTCGATTTTTTAATTCATGCGTAAAATAATAATCAAAACCCGATTCCACTGTATAGTTTAGAGTGTGTAGATAAATAGAGCTAAATAATTTACTGGCGGGTGATAAAAAATCAAAACCTGAATGAGATCCTCCGTGATTAGATAGCAAAATTGGACGAATTCGGTATTCTTTTCTCATAACGACAGAAGCCAAGATAAACCTCTTCCATATCCCCATTGGTGGCGATACAAAAAATGACATGGGATTTTATGAACAATGTTTATGAGAAATAGGTTTTTCTTGTTCTTGTGATAAGCACAGTATCAAAAAACAGAACTAACCCCCACTCCCCTTAGAGCTAATACAATCAACATCGGTTTCATATCTTCTTCTTCTATTAGGATTTATTAAGCGCTTCCACTGATGTTTTTTTATATAAGCAATATTTTTATTCAGATTTGTATCCGAATAGGGATTGGGGAACAGGCATAGGCTATATTAATCCCTTCTCCCTGTCAGATGTAGATACATGTATTTACATAAAGAAACAAACAATGTACTTGTGAAAATATAATTACAGTGAATGTGTTATAGTTGTCCAAGGAACCGTCTGGACAGTTTTAAAAATATTGAATGAGTTTTCTATGTCGTTAATTCCGATGATGATATCGCAGACAAGTTATCTTAAGATTATTATGCTTAGCGCATGCACGCACAAAGGTCTTTCCTGTGGGAGGAAACGATGTTGAGAAAGCGCCCCTTATCTCCAAGTCACATACGCTCTCATCAGAGATAAAAAATACGACCGCAAACCAGAGGTGCCCGTCCAGCTAGAGCTCAAAGCACGACACTCTATACAAGTAGGCCATCCCAACCCCTCTGGCGTAACATATAAATAACACGTCTGTAGATGAAAGTTTAAAATTGTTAAGCAAACAGTAATATACATTTATAGATCTAATAATGAGCTGAACTCTGAATTATAGTAAAGATCAAAGCTAATAGAAGACCTTAATTGTATTTACTTATGAAAGATTAATAGATATCGTGAATGTATATCTAGTAATTTACAATATTAACGGAATTCTTCGTTTTATAAAAAATGTTAACCGTCAGTCACTTTTGATTTCATCTTTGTACAAGGACCCAGTGTGGGCGTATATTATGTCGACATTACTGCCAATCGAGATTGGGAAATGTTCAGGTTATTAGAGGACGAACACTACCGATTTTCAACAGTTATGCCCCCTTTTCCGAAAACAGTGTGAACGTGATAGAAGCTACAGTTTTTAATGGATTCTATTCAAATTATATGTGAACCATTATAGTAGATATTTTTCAAACTTAGTGTGAAGCATTTGTTTATGAGAAGACGAACCCTATCGATGTAAGCCCTCCGTGACCTTCAATTACGGAGTTACCCCACCCCCTATCTTTCTTTTAAAAGCCCCGTGTATGCGTTAGAGGCTAATAATTCAATAGGGTTTTTTTTCAAATTATATATGAAGCATTAGGGCAATGAGGGTTGAGGTCTATCGATTGTGCCTGTTCTCAGTAAGTCTATTGCAAAATGTGGGGTATGTTGCGTGGCAACCCCACTTCCCTGGTAACACAAAATCCAGGACACGTATTTGCAAATTTATTAGATTGATTTAAAAGACTTCTTCTCTTCGTGGCTTTATTGATCTGTCATTAAGCCTAATTAGATGGATTTTAAACTGCAGTCTAACACGATAGACATAGGTACAGAATATAAATATCAAAGTAGCCGACATATATTAGCATGTGAAGTGGAATGATTGCGGATTTGAACGGACAGTCATAGAACAATTAAACTTGACTTGAAAGGTAAGTTCTATTTTATCGTCAGGTTCAGCATGGTTCAGTAAATCATATTAGGTGTATTTAGGTGTTTGCTGCTGGGCATTTAAGGGTGGGGGATGTGGAGGCGCGTGTTTGTGTGTGGTGGGTGAGGGGGGGGGGGCGTGAAATAGAAATGTACCTTGTCGTAAAAGAACTGACCATATTTTTTTTAAATGTGCCACAGAAGGTGGGGGGGGGGCAGTAGAACTGTAGTAGTAAAACGTTACTGACTTATGGCATAGGGCAAGCCACCGGACCTCATTTAACGACACCAAAACATTGTAAAATGTATGTGTGTGAAAAGGACATACAGAATTTCAGTCTATTTAATGATACCTTTAGATTGAAATGTCCTATCCTACAGACGGGCATTGCAGTGTGCTCTTTTCAATTGTTCGTTTTAGAGGACGCGAGAGAGAGAGAGCGAGAGAGAGAGAGAGAGAGTTTTAACATCCACTCGACACAAACTAGGTCATTTCGGGACTAACATACGGTTCAATTTCAATAATTCTCTTGCGCGTAGGGGTATTTAGAAGTGGGAGGAAACCGGAGGACCATATTCCTTGTCACGTACAACCGGGGAATCGAAAGGACGCGCTAACCATTCGACCATCCAATCCTCCTTGTCGAGGACGTAAACTATCCACATCACATGGTTATTCGTACTAGACGCTATTTCTTGTCATGCCATCCGCTCTTCACAACTGACAAGAGGAAACCAGACTGGGAAATCTCGGGGTACTTTCCCCGCGAACACTGGGATGAAACCCCGGACCGCTTGGTTAGAGAGACAGGGCCATACTCACTGATCCTCAGTGGCTCCCATTCCCTTAGAACCATTATCACGACAATGGGGAGAACGTCATATGTTACTAGACCGTCTCCGATATGGGGTTCTACCGATAAAAGATATGGAGCTAAGAGCTAAAATTAAACTAAACGTAAGTATGATATGATTTTAGTTTAGACCGGTTGTCGTTTATATTTGGCAGATCACATAAAATGGAGCTGAAGAACTGGGTGTTCATTTTGGTCATGGCAATCTATTTATACATGAACCTTATAATTGGTGTTGCTGCTTCAGAAATGTGTCTGGATCCGAATCTACTGAAGAATAAGATCATTGGTTCTGGTCTAACGCAAGCTCCCTTCCTGGTGTACCAATCAAAAGGTCTGATGGATTGTTATAGACAATGCGGGCTTTACGCATGGTGTTATTCCGTTAATTTTAACACCGTAACATTACAATGTGAATTACACGATGTAGCCAACGGCAATATGGAGGAATATAGTGATACAGTTTTTGTTGGTATGGAAAAATCATCAGCTGAAATATTAGGAGTATGTAAAAATCATGGATGTCCCCTTAATACCAAGTGCGAAGTAAACGGACCACGATATACATGTGTTGAGGTACCAATATCTAAAACAACATATTCAGATGATGGGGATGAATTGGATGGATGGGATGATGAATTGGATGACTAAAATTCCGCATCCCTTTTTCTATGTTCTTTATATGAACATAAGTAATTACGTTAAAATACACCAAAGAAAATAATATTTACTGTCATTTATTAACATTTCTAATAATTTAACGACTACATAAAATGGGTTAATAATGGATGAAATATTACTAACTATAGCTAGGGTGCCCCACCATAAATAAATATCTCCATATATCTCGACAATTACGCCACAATATTTATATATATGCCAAGCCTCAAATCAGTTTCACACAATTATAGTCACTAAATAAACGATCATGTTGTACTTAATAAGCTATGACCATTAATCATGTATAAATAATAGACTGAAAACTGGTTCCAAGAGTCGTCCATAACATCCAGACACTTTTGAGTAAAAGATAGGTTACGTGCCCTTGTTTTGAAATTAGTCTCGCTTAACCAGTCTATCGACCATTCTACGTCTGATTGACAGGTCGGGATAATCAAGACTACTTTTTTACGAAACGTAACAGAAAGCTAGAACAAGAAATTGAATTTAGAAACAAGCACGTTAGGTAGCTCAACAATCGTTTTAAGAAGCTTGTAAAAGTAAAATGAAACTACTGCTAGTATCATGTTCCTGCCTAACCCGAGTGATTCAGAGATATTATTTGTACTAAACCAAAAGATGCCGCTCTTAACGGTACAGTTAATGATAAAGCGATTTAAAAAATGAAACGAACGTAATTTCTAAATCTGCTGTAATAACCAAGAAGCTTAATTTAACTGCTATTCAAAATCGTCAACAATAAATTTTTTACGGCTGTAATAGTTGATAGATTTGTAGAGAATTGCACGTGCCATGGCTATTTATAGTATCATACTGTCAGAAAGTTGGTCTCGGCACGGCGAATGTGCACGCTTCAGTGGTAGTCTCGAACTATCAGCGGTGGACTGTATTTCTGTGAGTACATGGGTCACCCTACTATAGCCTGCACAGGGGCGTGGTGACCGCTGATTTTGCATGAGAAACAAGATCCAGCCCCCACGGGAGCGCAACAAGCCAGTATTTATATAGTTAGGACGAGTTATCTCCCTCCAATGCGAGAAAGTTTGGGCTGTGGCATTATCATGGTATATGTTTATTTCGTTTTTGCAAAGTGATTAAAGTAACGATGCTCCATTTGCATTTTTCGCTAAAATCTGAAAGTTCTCGCGGTTAATCCACGCTAATATGTACTTAGATTGATTGTTTAATATAGAAATAAGAAAACAAACTCAAAGTACTAACGCTAGATAAATGCCCGACCATTATTCAGTCGGATATAAAACAGGTCTACCATTAAAAATGGCGGCGGGCTGATTACATAGTGCGCGCCATGGTGGCTCCGTCAGGAGGACGTTGGCTCGCTAACCTGGAGGTCCCGTGTTCGATCCCAGAAAGTTCATCGGGATTTCCAGGCGTGCCCCCCCCCCCCGACAGAGGGACGCGTGGTCTGGCAAAGGACAATGTATAGTCGTTCGGATGGGACGAAAACCGAGTTACATTGGCATTCACGTAAAAGAAAACTTGACAGTTGAAATTCGAAATATGAGTAGGTTTTCATTAGCCAAGTAGGGGCAGAGCAGTAGGACGTTAAGTCCCATTTCATCTAATTTTTTCATTTATTACATACCGAAGAAGAATAGATCTATGAAATTTCAAACATGCATATCTTTGTAAATACTACAAGTGATTCTATACCGCTAAAATGAAGCGTCGGGACTTTAAGTATGGACTATCTGTAGCCTTTTAGCGTTTAATAATCTTTTTCTTCGGAAGAATGACGGTCACACATTTAAGCGTTTCAAGTGGATCTCCTTATTTCAATATGGTGATATCTTGAAAAAATAATTAATATTAACATCTCAAAGTTTTACAGATTTTCATTTTAAAAGTGGGGAGTTAACGCGTCAGCCCCAAATATAATTGGCACCATGGCATTCATAATTTTACGCACAGTACATAAATCCCGAAGGCTTATTTGCTTTTTTTTTCTTAACTCTATTTATGTTACTGTGGTTTGAATTGCACGATGACAATGACGTAAGATATCAAGGAACCGAACACCTGAAAAATACATTAAAATAATTAGCTACAGTTAATTAAAATTTCTTTTAAACTGGCTGAAAAGGGTGTATTAAGCATCTGTTAGAAAAACTGATAAAATCATAGCAACGAAACAAAGATTTGTATAATATGTCTATAAATAGATATATTCTTTGGAACCTTAACATAGACGAAAATGGGTCTAAAGGCACATAATAATGCGGTATAAGATAAATATTATTGTATGATCGAAACTAACACCATGACAACAGTTTCACAAAAATTACTTACGGTACGACGCAAATCAATTATCGAATTTGATCACGGATCTCGTAAGAAGAGAGACGAAGGTCAAGATAGCTTATCCACAGTTTTATTTACCCCCCCCCCCCTTAAGTCCTCACTACCAAAAGAGAGCTATGTTTACCGTTAATATAGTAGCTTTATCCAGGACGAATAATTTTAAAAACGTCAGACCAAGATGGTTGCTCTTCATGTTGTCGATATATAATGTCAGCTGAAACATGTTAAAAAGACAAGTTACGTCATGTAGACTAGTTAATGATATAACATATTGTTCATTTATAGAATTAAAATAAAAATCTAATTGTCTTATTTTCGACATGCCGATTGTCTCAACTGTTTTATTAGTTCTATTAGCGAGCAGGCCAACTTCATCTCTGTTGACAAATCGACTTCAGAGATCCGCCCGGATTCGGTTATAAAGCACGTGCGCCTGCTTCAATGTCATATTAACAAGTCTAAATCAATTTCTAAATATTTTCTAAATATGGCATTAAAGATACATTCTCACGAAAATATTTATGGGGTAATTATTTCCAAAAAAGGTATGGCCAATGTGATATATAGCAATCTGATTAAAACACAGATCCTATTTCGTTTCGTTTTTATAGTTCAAAATTTCGTTTTACTTGTCTCTACTACACTAGGATCTGGAAGAGTTGTCATCATTGACGTGTTCTGAATAGCGTGAGGGCTTAGCCAATGAAACGGTCTGTTACGACGAGCTTTAGGTGTGTTTTGCACTGAACTGTGGGTAATCCACTAGTAACACTAATGGTGATTGGTTAATCATATGTCTGACGTCATAGGCTCACTTGCCGGTCGTATGACGTTTGACGTGACCTATCGCAACAACCGGCCAGATCTTCATGTAGTGTAGGTTATCGAAAGTATGAAAAACGAAACGAAATATAGATCTGTATTTTAATCAGATTGAAAGGTAGAGACGTCCAATCCTACTAGAAAAATACTGGATTCCCTGAAAAACACCCATTGGGCAAGCACTTAGCCAATATGTCACCGTACCACTAACTGGCAGCTCGAGGGATCATTGTCTGCCAGCTTGACTTAGGGAGTGATTGTGATTTCGTGATAGAATGGTTAGATGATTTTGGGAACATTGAGGTGTTAAACGTATAATAGACTCTGCAATTAAACGACTGATGTTGGCAGGAGATCATCTATGAATTTGAAAATCGGGTGCAAAGACAATGATATCTGACTTCGTCTTGCAGGCTTCCAGTTAAAACCTATCAGATCACGAGAATCAATAACCGACGTAGCATATCGAACAAAAACTAGAATCCTGTATTTATACAATTTCATCGGATATGACATAGTACGGCAACGTGTACTTAACCGAAGTATATTTTGCGCTGCTGCGATCTAACAATGAACTCTCGTACTACCTTATATACATCTACTTCGTCCATACGTTTTTATACCCCCACATTTTCATGTGGACGTATTATGCCGTCGCCTCTGTCCGTCCGTCCACAATTTGTTTGTGGACACTCTAGAGGTCACAATTCTTATCCGATTTTGACGAAACTTGAAATATAAGTTTATCTCCAAAAGATCTCGGCTGCTTTCAATATTGGCATGTATCGGATCGAAACTTCATGGATTATGGCCCCTGTTTGTACGAAAAATCACGTTTTTAGCTTGTGGACCCTATAGAGGTCACAATTTTTATCCGATTTTGTTGAAACTTGAAATGTAAGTTTATAACCCAAAGATCTCGGTTCCTTTCGATATTCGCGCATATCGGACCATAACTTACTGAATTATGGCCCCTGATTGTACGAAAAATCGCGTTTTTAGCTTGTGGACCCTATAGAAGTCATAATTTTTATCCGATTTAAAAACCCGTATTATTATATCACTGTTACACCCTAAGGACGACTGAGGTCGAATTTCGTGAAAATCGGCCCAAAATTGACAGACAAAATGGCCGCCGTTCGTTCTCAAATAGCGTAAGAATATGGTATATCAAGGTTGTGGACCCTATAGAGGTCACAATTTTTATCCGATTTTGTTGAAACTTGAAATGTAAGTTTATAACCCAAAGATCTCGGTTCCTTACGATATTCGCGCATATCGGACCGTAACTTCCTGAATTATGGCCCCTGATTGTACGAAAAATCGCCGTTTTTAGCTTGTGGACCCTATAGAGGTCATAATTTTTATCCGATTTAAAAAACCATATTATTATATCACCGTTACACCCTAAGGCCAGTTGAGTTCGAATTTCGTGAAAATCGGCCCAAAATTGACAGACAAAATGGCCGCCGTTCGTTCTCAAATAGAGTAAGAATATGGTATATCAAGGTTGTGGACCCTATAGAGGTCACAATTTTAATCCGATTTTGTTGAAACTTGAAAGTTAAGTTTATAACACAAAGATCTCGGTTCCTGTCGATATTTGCGCATATCGAATTGTAATATCCTGAATTATGGCCCTTGACTGTAGGAAAAATCACTTTCTTTTTAGCTTGTTCTCTATCCATCTCTCGAAAATGTGGGCGTATCCTGCCTGGCAGCCGCTGGTTTATGAATAGAAGCAAGCTGTGCCAACCCGCACTCAATAACCAGAGACGAGCACGAGATGGGATCTCCCCCTTATCTAAGCAACCAATGCTCGAACACACATCAATTGTTAAAATCTTTGAAGAGTTGAAGCGAGAAGGTTGGTCAGACAATCTCATTGCTGGTGTACAAAAACATTTTAAAAAACAATCAGCAAAAACGTAAGTGCTTTTGAGGACGGCGTGTGTGTGTTTGTGGGTGGGGGGGGGGGCACCCATAGCCGCGAACCTGATCCTTGGACTAGACTTCGGAGAGAGAGAGAGAAATGGGGTTTAACGTCCACTCGACACAAACTAGGTCATTTCGGGACTAACATATTGTTTAATTTTATTTGGCTACATGGCTTTCTTGCACGCAAACCCCACTAATCTAGGAAAATTAGACACCATGCGGTCAGACATAGGTGTCAAGCGTAAGACGTTGCGAAGCAGGTGAAATCCCTCTGTCAGTACAAAGAAAAAAAACGGGGGCATGTGGCCAAACTTAGCCAAATGGGGGAAAGCTGTTCTGTTTTTACGAAATCTCGAGATTTACTAGAGTCAGGGACAAGAACAAGAAAACATACTGTCAGGCATATTACTGAAGCAATGGCCCGAGAAATCCCTCTAGAGATTTTGACTGAGTGTGTCCATTCTCATCGTCCAATCAAATTTCGCCCGAGTACAGTAAAATAAATATCAGTGTTGGTTAGTGCTGATTTCAAGAAAAGTTTTACACTTGGGCGGGTCTGAATGCGCACGCTCGCCACTTATTTATAATACCCGGAACAACTCCCTTGGATGATTATTAACCTTTGACGCTACCCTGTAAAAGGCATTGTGTCTTTATTAAGGAAACGAGATCGAATAGGTCTTCTAATCATTCTCACGTCACCACCCCAAGCTGGGCTAAGCGTATTATGTGGTTTACTAGCAATTTGCTTAGGAAACACATGTCTGTGATTTCACATAAGGTGCAAGGGAACGTAAATCCCCAGAACGAACGAATAAAACCCTGCCTCTTACAATTTCTTTTTCCGTCGTTTAATTGCAAAGTCTGTGTGGTACGTCTAAGCTTTCCAATGGCCCCACAACCCGTGGTCTTTCGATTAACACATCTGTCAAGCAGACAACAATCAAACAGGTTGCCAGTTGGCGATACTCGCATGTAGGCGTCCCATGGGTGTTTCTCACGGAATTCAGTAATCTTCTAGTAAGATATTTTTCATATATACCATATTTGTATTGGAAATAACTTTATACACTATTAATACTTTCACTTTCGTGGGAATACACCTTTAAATCAATTTAATATTTTACACTTTGGAAAGACTACTTACAATTCCAACTGTCTCTGTATTCATTTTAGCACCGTCTAACAATTGGGACGTCTCTAGACATACAGTTGTCTGAAGAAAAATACACAAATACTTGTCATGCATACTAAATTATAAATATAAAATATGAATATAAATGTTTGCTACCTTTAAATTCCTGTAGTATTTTTTGGTCAGTACTGCTATGTATTGATTGGTTGAATTGTATGCAGTGTACGCGCATGCCCAGAAAGGTATTTCATGTAACCTATCCATCAGCATATCACTGGTACATCAGTTGTTAGGTAATAAAGGTGTTAAGTTTAACTGTATTTAAAAATCCCTAGTTACTAAATACCTGGGGCAACTTTGGCTCGGAGAGTAAGACGTTTCCTCTCTAACGTGGAGGCCATGTGTTCGATCTGAGAAAGTTCATAGGGATTTTCAGGAATGGTTCCCCCTTGTCAGTGGTGTAGGACGGAGTGCGTTGGCAAGGAACAACGTACAATCGTTCAGATGGTACAAAAAAAACGAGGCACGTTTTAACACTGACGAGTACGTAAAAGAACCCTTGACAGATGGAATTCGAAATAAGTGTAGGCCGTAGTACCGCTGTCTAGGGAAAAAATATCACTCACGCATAGCACACTGCATGGTGTATGAACTTCATCATTAGCCCAGTCGGTGCCGAAATGTAGGACGCTAAAACCCATTTTATTTCCGCACACAGCTAAAGTAGGTTGGAGAAATGGGAAATTGCCATGGTGGTGAGGTCTTACAACAGTCCAACGCAAAGCCGTTGAACAATGTAGCACCATGGGTCTTTTGTCAGACGTGGAGAGCGGACACGCACTAAAACCGGTCGCCACATCCTACGTACGACCCATGCATCTTTTCTTACTACATATTTCTGTAGCCTTGTGATCGTCTAGAATTTGTCTCTAGCTGTCTTTACTTCTGCTTCACGTTGTGTATTTACTTCTTATTGTTTTCTTAAGACGTTTGTCTTACCAGGAATAACAATGCAACAGTTCGCTTCTACATTTTATATAGCAAAGCCGAATACATATATGGATACAAGCATAATATATAACAATACTAGCTAAAACCATTTCTCCACCCTAACCAGCCTCGTGGCTGTCTAAGAACTCAGATGGAACCTCTCTGGAATCTAATGGAAATCTAACGAATTCTCACAAGTATGATAGTTTTGTAGCTGTGGGTTTTGGACGTTCAATTATCTAATTGGTCAAATATCATGTAAATAAGTATAGAGATTGGTCAAACAAGCCAAATGATGCAATCGTAATTTTCCGTCACGTGTTTTTCGACATAATCTATCCTTGAACTCAGACCCTCTTTCCTGTTATTCTCAATAGAGAATAATTTGTAAAGATAAAAAATGTTGTTTACCCATCTTATTTCTCTATTCCTTGTCTATAAATTTAAAAACAATGTCGCTACGACGATAGTGCTACAACAAACGCTATTAATACTATAGGTGCTTAAAATTGGATCAGTTGCAAATTATTGGGCAACGGAAGGTGGGGTACCGATAAATAAAATTTTGAAGATAAGATAGTACAACATAAAAATGAAAGAAAATGACATCGTATTTGAATCAACTTGAGTGGATTCGTCAATTCAGGAAAAGATACTTACAGTTCCGTGTAGCGATACAGCGATTGCCAGAATAATAATGATCTCGCTAAGTGCCATGACCAGAGTAACAATGTTGACCACCACCAAAGTATGACTGACATTTCCATATATTAAGACATGTACCACGAAGCAAACAGTTGTAAATGCCACACCGATAGCCACCGATACAAAGGGACATAACAACTTATCCAGTTCCTCCACAAGGATCTTGATTGAAACGTATCTTTTTCTGATTGTCTCTATTTTTCGCGCAGTCGGTTCGGAATCTATCATCTTTTTAAACTCCTGATCGCACTTCAGAAACTCGTTGGTGGGAATACAACAAAATGCGTAAATCATTCCAAAGGCAAAAATTTTCTGCGCGATACAGAAAGAAGTAGTCAGTGTGTTAAGCGAGATACTAACCCAGAAAAAAGGCGAATCTTTCCATACAGGGGATTGAAAACACAGAATAACGGACGCAAATGGGGGATTAAGAACCAACATTGAAACAACAGTAAACACACAAACTGTAATCAAAGAAATGATAACGAACATCTTTGAGAACTTCTTCAACTTCAGATACGAAATATCGAACAAGGGATCCGTGCGCAGATCATCACAAATCTTCAGAAAATTTCGTAGTTTTGTTGGAACGTATATCAAGCCACACAAATAGAAAATAATTCCTACCAACAAATTCCCAGAAAGCGCAATATACAATGAAATATTTTTGTGTTCCATAGAATTTTCGGCTCCAACAAAGCACCAAATAATTTTTCCCACAAAGGAAAGCAGAGCGGTAACGTGTATCACACATGAAAGAATCTGGATAAAGACAACCTTCTTTTGTGTGTTTGGAAAACGATTTAATCCTAAAAGTGGCATGAGGAGAACCAGTGGTCTGAGCGTGTTGTACGTTAAAGAGTTACGAGAATCCCAAACCTTCATATTGACTTCTTGGTGTTATACTGTGTCCATATACTATTTGATCGGTTTTGACACGCATGTAAACTCCATTGTATGTATGTTATGATCAAATATTTTGTAACAAGTACTAACATTGGTGGTTTATTACACTGCGACGTTTCAACAAGATTTCACAAGTCTTCAAGCATATATATGGACACAAATAAATAATTGTAATGTTATAAATATAATATATACAAAGAGAAGTGTGGACTATCCAATGAGATTATGTTATGATGAATCACGGTCGTTCTGGGAACCTATTGAAGTTTGTTAACCAGTGGGATTTAGATTCAGCACAAATCCTTAATGAAGTTATTAATTCTATCAGATAGAATAGCGGTCATCTAAAATTAATTCCTCTTTTAGTATCAAAACTTATTTGTTGTTTTCACCCATTACATCAAAATAAAGACTACTAAATAAGTTATTCATTAATGTGAATAGCCATCCATCAGCCTGGCCATTAGTCCATTAGATTATTGAAACCAATAAAGCAAGGATCAAATTCACGAGGGAACTATTAACAACACTAACGCCCACTGAAAATTAATAACGTATAAATTGTATAGACCAGTATCAATAACACGGCATTATTATAAAGCTTAAGCAACCTTGGGTAATTAACACACATAGAAACAATCACAACAATTCTATGGAAGACAATAACTAAATTTAATTCTTATTATTATACACATTTCTGTAGTGCACAATTGCCATATAAATATGATGATGTGCACTTTACAATAACATGTACATAATAAAACGAGATAACAAAGACCATACTTGATAAAATAGATCAGTGTTATGTTACTACAATGACTATCTTTTAGTGTTTTCCGACATTATACTTATATAGCATTATAAACCACTTCAAAACAATTTCAAATCTCTCCCAGTTCAAGTAAGTCTAGATAAATTTGAACTTTTTGTTCTTCAGGTACTCTCTTGTCCTACTTCTTGTGGAAACAAAAAGAATTTAAAAACCAGGGGCCTGTTTCACGAAATTTTAACTAAGATAGAATCCAACTTTTAGTAATTTGATTGGATAATATTAGATTGATTTTAGTGCTTAGCCAATCAAAATTGAAGTATCTACTAAAATTTGGATTTTATCTTTAGTTAAGATTTCGAGAAACAGGGCCCAGATCTACTTAGTTACTCTTCTCAAAAGCTTTTAGTTCCACATCGTACACTGATTTCAGGATCCTATACTTTCAGAGTAAGATAATGGACCATGAGTTCTTATTAATTGTGATTTTAATTTTAGGTCAAACAGAATAAATATCAGCTAAGATAGTCCGAATATGTTTAATAGATATTAAACAAGTTAGTGGGAACCTCAATGACGCAGGGATTAAGGCGCCGGCTCGCTTCCGGTGTTGGCCGAGAAAGTTCCTCGAGATTTTCCTGTGCGCATTGTCACGAACATAGGCGTACGAGCCGGGGGGAAGTGAAAAAAAGAAATATTATTTCATCTACATGTAGTTGGAAAAGTAAAGTGCCCGAAATCTAATAAAACACTAATTTTACTTTTATTTTAATTGAATACCACGAATATCTGCTGGATTAAAACATTTTGTCTGGAGCCACTCTACTTTGTGCGACATTTTTCGGGCATCGATTATTATTTGTGAATGCAGCTGCAACGGTCTGATTGGAATTTAGGTCGGCATATAGTGGGATTTCGGTTACAAAACCATTGGACAATTTTAAAGTTGATTAACTTACATACTAAAATGGCAGAAAAACTCATTTGCGGTAGTATTTTTAATATTTTCTCCAGCAGGGCGAGGCCCCCATTACCCCGCGACGATTGATTGGTTGTTTGAGATTCAGATCAGCCAACTAAGGTAAGATGCATTAGACCACATTGTACATAGGCGTACGGGCTCGATGACAGTCAGCGAAATGGCCGAAAATATTTCGGGTTGCAGACGGCGGCGCTTACCGTGTAGCAAACGCATTTTCCTGCTATTCTAGCCAGTGAATACAGACAGCATCTTCAAAGTGGTCTAACATAGCCTAATTAAGATGGCTGACTCGTATTCCAATCAACCAATCAATCGTTTACAGTCCACGTAGTCATGAACGCCGGGAGAATATTTTGAAAATATAACTGCCGCAAACGCATTTTCCTGCTATTCCTGTGGTCCAGCGTAGCCTACCTTAGGGTATGACCTGAATCCCAACAACCAGTCAATCGTCGCTGTATTCACGGGCTGGAATAGCAGGAAAGTTGGTTTGCGGCAGTTAAATTTTCCCTACACGGTAAGACCAGCGCAACCGTCTGTAACCCGAACATTCATCGGACATTTCGGGCTATGCCCCCCTAACGGTCATCGAGCCCGTATGCTTATGGTCACGAACACGCTGAAATTCGAAACCACTTTGACTCAATGACAGATTTACGATCTAACGCGCACTCTTTAGATCATTTGGGCACGTAACTTCCCGTCAAATTCGTCTCTGTCGACTAAAAACCAACAGTAATTAACATTCAATAAAATCAGAACAATCCATCATAACTGCTTATGAAATGTATATTGGGTTGTGAGCTTTAAATGCCTCGAACAAGTATAGCGGTGGCGTATGTATGTTTTACAGCAAACGCACTAATAATATAGGTAACTTTTCTAACAATTTCGCGTTTTTTCTGAAAATATTTTGTCTGTAGCGACAGAAAATCATTCCTAAAACGCCCCCCGGCCTTGAAAAATTGAATGTGGTTCCATATATACAAATTTGTGAATTCGATGGCACGTTTGTGCGTGGTAAGCAGTGGGTCTGTCTGCAAAAACTCTTGTCTTTTTATTTTCCTAATTATTGGCGTATTAATACAGTACATATATAAACAATATACATAAACAAATACAAAATATAATAGAAACAAAGCATTGTTATGTATGTGTAAAATATCTCTGAACGAAAGACATGGCGGACCTTAAAACTATATATTTCTTTTTATGTATAAACCTTTTCTCTGGGTTCTCGGGTTCTCTAAGATGTAGGGTTAGGGTTAAAAGATAGTAGTCCCGAAAAGGGCAGGTTTTTGTTCGATTGACGTTGACACCTCTATGGTGGCCCATGGTCGCAATAGCGTTTTTTAGGTTATTTTTGGTATTTCATTTAAAATAATAAAAATATTAGTACAAAAAAAAAAGAAACATTTTTTTTTTTTTTTTTTACAAAATAAAAAAAAAATAATCTTTTAAAATTTAAAAAAAAAAAAATCTTTTTAAAAAATTAAAAAAAAAAAAAAATCTTTTTAAAAAATTTAAAAAAAAAATCTTTTTAAAATTTAAAAAAAAAAAATCTTTTTAAAATGAAAATATATATATATATATATAAAATAATAAAATATATTTAAAAAAAAATAAAAAAGAAATAATATTAAAAAAAAAATTAAATGAAAAAAAAAAAAAAAATTGAAAAAGAAAAGATAAAAAATAATTCCCGACGTGGCCCATCGTCGCAATAGTGTCTTGAGTATCCAGACCCAGTATACAGCTATCATTAGACTAGAGCGACCAGAAACATTTTGTGGCCCATTGTTGCAGTAGTATCTCGATTATTATGTGTGGGATCTATGAAGAACGTATAAACTCGAACGACAAGAAACGAGTCTGTAGTTATCTCACGTCAACATAATTGTAGATACTTCAATTTTGATTAGCTAAGCACTAAAATAAATCTAATATTATCTATTATCCAATCAAATACTAAAATTTGAATTTTATCTTAGTAAAACAGGCCCTAGACGAAGTCCACGTAGGCTATCATGCTCTATTATGTCTTTTAAATTGATGTTGTCCGCCATCGCACTTTCGCACCTCTTACCAGTTCCTGTGGTCGTAGCGGGGGACTAGCGATGACCTCAGGGAGAGCAGGGGTTTCACAAAAACTGAAGCTAAAATCACTAACATAGATTTTAAAATCAAAGTGAAATTTTAAATTTATGCGTTTCACGAAGATCGATTGTAACTTAAAATTTAATTTTAATAGATTTTAGTTAAAATTACTTGTGCCTTGATGTGAGGTAACTATAGACTGGTTTCTTGTCGCTCGAGTCTATACCATACGTTCTTCATAGATCCCACACAGGATAATCTGAACGACAGACCCACGATGTTTGACAGGTCACCCTACTCCTTGTCACGTACAACCGGGGATTCGAAATCACGCCAGTTGACTCAATGACGGGCTTTATGATACAGCGCGCACGTGCTAACCATTCGCCCCCCCCCCCCCGGCTACTTAGTAGTAGTAGGCCTATACTTCGAGGATTAGTTTCAAAGTTGTTAACTACTTTTGAAATTCGAACTCAGGGAGACCAAGTGTTTTAAAAACATTACATAAGCCTTTTGAGGGGAGAATAGGCCTTGCGCACTAGTTAGTAGGCCGAATGGTGTCATTAAAGTCAATGACTTCAAACGTCATTATGTATGTAGGCCTAGTTCTAGTTAGACTGGATAAACTAGTCTAAATGACGCTAGGCTTCTATAGTCTATTAATTATACATTTCTATTGACTTGCATATGTATAAATACATATATCCAAGTCCATAGACATCATGGGTGGAAAAATTGTGTTTCACGTGTTGATGTCTGTTTACCTTTTTCCTTTCGGAAGGGGAGATAACTACAAACTCGTTTCTTGTCGCTCGAGTTATGCCACATAGGATAATCGAGACACTATAGCAACAATGGGCCACGAGGTATTTCTGATTACTCGAGTCGAATGATAGCTGTCTGGATAATCAAGACACTATTACGACGATGGGCCACGTGCAGAATTCTTTTTTTGATTTTTTCTATTTCACTTATTTTTTTTTTTTAATTAAAATGTTATTTTTTTTATAGATTTTTTTAATCTTAAATATTTTATTAATTTTTTTTATATAGATTTTTTTTTATTTTAAAAAGATTTTTTTTTTTCTTAAATTTTAAAAAGATTTTTTTTCTTTTTAATTTAAAAAGATTTTTTTTTCTTTTTAATTTAAAAAGATTTTTTTTTCTTTTTAATTTAAAAAGATTTTTTTTTTCTTTTTAATTTAAAAAATTTTTTTTTTCTTAAATTTTAAAAAGATTTTTTTTTTATTTTGTAAAACAAAAGAAAAAAAAATGTTT